TTGTCCAGGCCAGCAGGGTTGTCCATGTTGCCCAGGACAGTGTTCACAGCCACCCCCAGAACCGGAGACTGGAGCATCCACTTTTATGTCTAACAGAAAACTTCAACAGATCTAAAAGTGTTTTCCCTAAAATACATTCTTACTCCGCTCTGTCACATTTCGGTAAATGATGTCATCTTTCATCCATCTGCTCTCACCAAACACCTAAGGGCCGCCTTTCATTCCTGCCCGCACCACATCCAATCCTCTAACAGAGCTGCTGGTTTTATCGCCAAAACACATCGGGGATCCACCTCTTTTCCTCCTCCTCCATTGTCAGCTGCCTGGTCTCTCACTGGGATTGTTGTAATAGTCCTGCAACTGCCCCCTTATCACCCGTTACCATGCAGTAGAGTGATCTGTACACATTTTTTATTTTTGTGTTAATCTTCACCAGAGGCTATTTTTTCCATCAATATTTTAGAGAGAGTGAAAGGAAGGGAGGGGGGAGGGAAAGAGACACACCGATTGGTTGCCTCCCCAACATGCCCGACCTGAACCAGGGGGTCAAACCTGCAACAGAGGCACATGCCCTTGGCTGGAATCTAACCCCAAACCCTTCGGTGCGTGGGCCGACGTTCTGACCTCTGAGCCACACCAGCCAGGGCCCCTGTACACATTTGTAGTCCGATTAAGTCATTCTCATGATTGAAAGCCCCCAAAGCTTTCCATTTCACTGAAAATGAAAGCCAAACCCCTCGGGTTGGCCTGCAAGGCCCTCCATGAACTAGGCCCTCTCCCCCCTGACCTCTGACCTCTGACCTCACCATGCTCCCACCTGCTCTTCAAGCTGCAGCTGGGTTGTCTTTCCTCCGGTTCCTCAAACACAGAAACTTCTTCTGCAGCAGGACCTCACTGTTGCCTCTGCTACAAATCTCTCCCCACAGACGGCCGCATGGTTGCCCCTTCTTAGCACTTAGGGGCACACAACCAGACAGACCTTCACTAACCTTCCTCCCCAGAGCTGTCACCGTCCTCACTCGCTGTCACGTTAGCCCATTTCCTCTGTACTTAACGCCTTGAAAGTATGAAAGTAGCTTGGTTCCTTCTTTGTGTTTTTCTCTGTCTACTCCTTTGGAAACGGGAGCCACGCAGTCTCATCTAGGGCTGTGTGCGCGGCACCCGCAGTCGGGCACCACACAGCAGGAGCTCAGTTCTGAGTGAGTGATGTTGCGGTGTTGAAGGAGCGAGCCACTAAAACGTGCAACATTACTTAAGGCTAAATCATTAACCTATAGTTATTCTAGGCTTTCATGTAGGGACTTTAGAGCGAGGCAAGGCCCAGACCTCCCTCCCTCAGTACCAAATAAAATGAACAATAGCAATTTTTATATTAAAAAAAGGATGGAAAACCAGTAAAAACATCACAGCAGCAACTGAAGAAGGAAAGGAGCACCCCTCAGGACATAAAATTAGAAAGTGCAGGTCAAAGATAAAAACAGGAACTTCCGGCAAAGCAAACTGTAGCCTGGCTCGTAACTCTCTCTCTGACTTTTGGAAGCAATAAGGCAAGTCAAAATCCTGAAAATAACTCATGAATGCCCCCAACCCCCGCCAATGTGAATATAAAAAGATGAGAAAATACTGTCTTTCTATAGATTGGGGTTTGGGTGGGTAGAGGGGAGCAGCTGCTAGCAGAGATGGTAAAGGTAGAGGCTCATCAACAGGAGCTGACTTTGCTCGAAGGAAGGAAAGGTTCTGGGTAGGGTGCCACCTGCCCACGGAGTTGTCTTTGTGGGGTTTGCATCCTCTCAGTGGATGCAAACCCACAGGGAGTGCAGTTAACAGAGCGGAGCGGAGCTTGGGATGGATTTCAGCCTGCACACACCCTTCTGGCAGGAGCCCTCGTGCAGGGACAACCTGCACAGTCCTGCGTGGCGATCCCACGTCCAGGTCTCCACGCTGCACTGAGGGGGCCATCCCCATCAGGAGAGTCTTTTCTATGGAAACAGGATGCACCTCCCACTAGATTTCTAACAAAAGTCTCAAGCCACAACACAACAGCAGAGAGCAGGTCCTCCAACAAAGGCTTCACACAGCTCCAAATGGTCTCCCCTCCCCCGGCCCCCTCGCCTAATGTTGAGGCCACAGAAGCGTGCACTGGAAAACACGCTGGCTCCCAAACGGTATCACAGGGGGCTGGACCCAAGGGGCTCGGGGAAGGACGATGACAGAGAATATAAATGCTGAGCGCAGCTGCTCAGGCTGCCCGTGAGCCACATGAAAACCAGCGTGGTAACTGCAAACATACTGAGCTTAAAAAAGAAGAGATGGAGGGAGGGACCCTCTTTATAAGTGATGTAAAATTTAAGCCAGTATATAAATACCACGCTCTTTCTTTACAATCTTTTGTTTACTGTAAAGGACTAAGTCTTTGGTTTCTTTTGGCCCCATTTTCCTTACTCGGTTTTAGTAAAAGAAATACTGCATTTAGCCTTGAACTTGCAAGTCCTCGTAATGAGACCAAGGACATCTGTGCAGAAAAGGGAGGCCGTTGCTGCAGGTGCAGGAAGGAGAGAGAATTCATCTCGTAATGGAGAGTTAATCCATTATGAATAAAGTTGGGCTGAAAATATTTACAATAATAATATATCTTTGTGTTAAATAGCTTTGTGGGAATTATGGTTATAACAAAATTAGACATCATAAAACTTCACAGTGTGAAACTAATATAACTAGCAAACATGAAAAGTGGGAAGTAGCTGTGGGAGGAAGTATAATGCTAATTTCTGCATAATTTACTCCCTTTCTTAGCAGGGATAAATCAACACTGAATAAAATAGAAATGCTTATTAAAAAAACATTAAAATTCCACTCTCATAATCCTTTTCATGATCTATTTTCTTTAGAGTGCTCTTAGAAGAAATACTCTCATGTAGTGAGAAAGACCTGAGTGCTAGCAATAACCTGCAGTTTTTATTCTATTAAATATGAATTTAATACCATCTGTTTTAAAGTAGCATGTATGATATGATCCCACTGTTCTAAAATCATTGTTTTTCCCGCATATATGCATAGGGGATGATGAGTGCTCAGAATTAACAAAGGTTAGCTCTGGGTGGTGAGGTTCTAGGTGGTCTTTTCTTTCTGATTTGCATTTTGATCTACTTGAGTTCCTCAGTAGAGGTTGCTTTAGAGTCTGAAGAACTTTGGGAAGCTTTGCTGCACTGGTCCAGACCTCCTCTGAGTTCCTTTTCATCTCTCGAAGAGTTTCAGACTACATTTCCCCCAGACCAGTAAGATGCAAAGCTGAGCAACAGGACTTGCTGTCCCTCCCTGCCCTCCCATGAAGGCGGGATTCTTCAGTTGGCTAAATGGCTCCAGGCTCTGACCCAGAGTTGCAGTCTCAGGGATGAGGGCCAGGTGGCAGGGAGGGGGCAGGGAGGTTATACTTTGCCACCAGCTTCTATAAGATCTGGCAACCTGGCCGACTGTCTTTCCAAAGATGACGATGTGCTGACCTCTTTCCAAACCTTCTCTTAGGGCAGAAATTGTCAGCCTAGGGGCTCATTCTCTCTTAACTTTCATTTCATTCAGGACACTGCATGATTTTTTTTTAATTCTTTAATAGAAATTTACAAAGCAAGCAAGTAGCCAACCATTTAAATAAAAAGGGCTGCATGTCAGGAAATGTATAGCCTCTCCCCAGAGCAGATCTGTAACCTACTTTCTCAGAAGGTGCATGTGGATCTTCATACTACTTTAAGAGCATGACAAAAATTAGGCTCCGTGAACCCAACTTGATTTCCATAAGGAGAAAAAACATTACAAAGCCATTTCGTAGACACTGAGACCTATACAGTAGTCTGCCTAGGGTCTCTCATAACATGAGGATTATTGGTATTTTTACCAAAACCCAAAAAGTGTAGTTTATATCCCAGAAACAGGCAAAGATATGAGTTTTCAAAAGTTTCGAGTTTGGTGTCACAAGTTAACGGTTCTAAAAGTAAAACCACTACTACAACCTCAACTAGATATTTTAAGTCAAGTGAAAATAATTATTTCTTCAACTTACGTGACCAGCATTGGGTTCTTCCTAACGTGAACCTCAAATTCTCATCATCTCTTTGTCCCGCCATCCAAAACAGCTAGGAGACTGCTTTCCATTACAGTTGTTTAAAAGCAAAACTTAAGAATTAAAGCACACAGTGGTTCGATGTTTCTTTTTAGAATACGGCCGCATAGCAGAATCAGAAAATCAGGTTCAACCACAATCAGCATTAAAAGTGAGTATGTTTCATTTTATTTTCTCCGAAAATTTGTGTAAAGGCTGATCGTTTTCAGAATAAATGCATCTGGGTTTTCCACAAAAATCTTCATGAAAACACACTGGAGATTTAGCAAGAATGACAAAGAATGTGTCACCTGATCCTCATCGGATCTTTTTTGGTAAATGGCAACTTTGGGGATATTTTTAAAAATCATAACAATTCAAGCTATATGTTCACCTACCCAAAAATCCTCAACCCCATGCCTTGTTAATTTTGTTACAGGCCCTTCAGCATCAACTGGAATCTTTTCAGGCTCTCCGAATACAAACTTTGCAGAATGTCAGCATGGTACGTTTCACCCAATCTACACACAGGAAATATCCAAACTGAAGATGACATCATCCACATTTCTCGGCTGATTATCACTGACCACTTGATTAGTTGATATAGAATGTAATATAACACAGGCCACAACATTTCTAGGCTCAAGACTTGGAGAAAACTATATTGTTATATATATTTGGATACGAGACAAAAAGAAATAGTGCTGATTTTTTAGACTGACTATATATAGTCTACAGACAGGGATTCTCATTAAAATCTAACCCAAATTGACTAAGGGGGAAAGTGCATTAGCTCCGGTAACTGAAAATAAATGCTGGGGATTGTCACTCGAGGAAGGCTGAATCCACTTGATCAGGACTCACATGATCAAGGATCCGTCACACTCTGCATCTGCTTTCCACAGTAATGGATCCTCAGGAGCTGTGTGGTGACAGAGGGGCTGCTAGGAGTTCCAGCCTCTGTCCCTCCCTCCAGGTCACAGTCAGACAGAGAGAAGACCATGATTTTCTTCTTCCCAGTTTATGCTGAGGTTCTCGGCCTGCTCTGGTTGGCCCAGACCCTGTCATATGCGATGCTGGAACCAATCACTGTGCAAAGGGAGGCAGTGCTCTGACTGGTTAACGCTGAGTCACCTGGATCGAGGGGGGATCAGTACCAGCAAAGGTGCATGGACTTTATCCAGAGGAAATACAGGGTACTGTTAAGGTTAGGGTACGAATATGGGGGATGCAGAACACAGCACATATTCACTAAAGACTCAATATGAACTTCACCCCGTAACCTTATACTAAAAGCAACTGCACCGAAATGGGAAGAGAAGATAAACCCCTGAGGGTGACAGAATATGTTCCATTCTGATGCCAGAGATCAAAGGTGTCTGATGTGTCAACAATGTGACAATCAAACATCTAAAACTATTTGAATATACTGCGTAAGATTTCATTGTTTTCCTAAGCTAAGTCTAATTTCATAATCATATAATAAAGGCATCGTTTTCTTAAAGATTTTTTTAAATTATAGAGATAACAATATGATAAGTTTAATTTATATTTTATGTGATAGGAAAGAACTTTCACATGCAGGAAACTAAAAGGTATCTTTTAATTGTAATATCTGTTACTCCTGTACATTCATAAGTTCATAAACCTGAAATCAAATTCTACCCTTCTCAATTTATCTTCATAAAGGTACAGTCTGAAATCAGTGAAATACTGAACAAAAGTATTATTGAAGTAGAAAACCCACAATTTGGCTCAGAAAAAAATCTAGTATTCAACACACACATTGAAAAGGTATGTTATTCTGTACAAAATCATTCTATATTTAGGTATTTCAAAAATGTTACTACAACCAGTTCATCTTCAACTTTACATTTTCCCCCTCTTCACAGGGCGATTGGACTGCCAGAGAAGGAAATAAGGAAATTCCTGTCCTGAAAACCCTAAAAGGCGTGCGTTTCCCTGTACTCCTGCGACATCCCATTTCCCTTAGCAGAGTGTGTGAAGGGTATTTAACTTAGTATAGATACCTAGAGAGCCCCGAGTAAATGAAACACAAGGCAGTTTTTATAGCCTATCTGCCCACTTTTGAGTTTTCTACTCTTAGGATTGACCTAGACCTGGGGCAAATTCCCTAGGACAGGTCCAAACCAGTGTCACTGTGTCTGTACTCATTAGAACTCACATTTCCACACAGTCACAGCCCTAGAATCATCTGAAACTAGGATTGCAAGCTAAGGTTGACCAATAGCCCAGAAGCGGAAATATTCATTTTCCTTAAACTTCTCTTAGGCCTATTGCTTCTACCTTTCCCATCTATCTGTGGTCTCTTGAGAGATGCTAAATGTCTATTTTGAAAATTGAGGGGTTGGCCCATGTATCTCTCCCCAAAAGGAAATAAGTACAATTTCTAAGCAAATTGTGAAGACCAGAGTTACAGGTCTCAACTGTTGTTAAATTTTCTGGAGAAAGTGAATCCTACTTGTTAGCTGTAGACATGATTAAAATGTTTGTTTGCTTGCAAAAATGAATCCTCCTAACAAAATATTATGTTAATTTGTTGGTCATGTGGCAAATGACAGTACATTTACATTGCACTTTTTATTGTTACTAGCCTATAGAGAATCAAGAAGAAATCCTTGCTGTGGAGAAAATTCATCATTTTGAGGATTCCAGCACTCTTGATTCAGTGGAGGAAAAATTCAATAGCAATAGTGTCAACAGTCTCTCTCAAGGTGTAAATATTCCACCCCAGATACATTTCAATGACATATTAACTCTCAGAACTTCAACAGATAATTCGGCTTCAAACATAATTATGCATCCTTCAGGAAATTCTGACATGAAGAATTATAACATTTATGGTTTTCTAGCTAATGAACCTCAAAATGTCATGCCTCAAGCTCATACAGTAATTCTGAATAAATCCAAAATTACTGTGCCTTTTCCCAAGCCCGGATTTTGTGAAAATTTAGACGATATTTGCTATTCTATCAAACAAATGAAGGAAGAGCTTCAAAAGTCACACGACAGGGAACTGGCACTTACAAGTGAACTTCAAACTTTAAAAATGGATACAAATGTTCAAAGTAATACTAGCTATGACCTGTCCCCACTTCACAAGGAAAAAATTAACTTTATTAAGGACGAAAATTTAGAAAGTAACTTCAATGAAGATATAAAATCAAAGAGAATTTTAGAATTAGAGGCATTAATAAACAAATTACTCCCATTCAGGGAATCAGTGTCAAAATTCCATTTGAATTTTTGTAGGAAATGTAAAAAATTGTCTCGGAGTGAAACACACAGGGGAAAGAAGGAAGAGAAAAACAACAAAGAAATTCCTATCACCGATAAGAATACTGCAGATTTAAAATTCCATGCCAGACTTCCGAAGCATCCATCACCATTCTTTGACTCAACAAAATATGAAACGAAAGACCAAGAAAAGCAACCATTTGTAGTAAAACGAGGATCGATATTATTTGAAAACGAGAAAACATCCAAAGTCAATTCTATGACTGAGCAGTGTGTGGCAAAAATTCAGTACTTACAGAATTACCTAAAAGAATCTATGCAGATACAGAAAAGAGTAGCGGAACTGGAGAATGAAAATCTCACCCTTAAGACCAAAATAAAACCTCTTGTCTTTACCACACAATCTCTGATACAGAAAATTGAAATATATGAAAAGCAACTTAAGAATCTGGCTGAAGAAAAGAACACTATTCAGTCCAAATTAATTAAAGCAGAAGAAGATGGCAAAGAATGCCTAAAAGAATTGAAAAAAATAATTAGTAAGTATAATGGTCTCCAAGAACAAAATAAAACTCTCGAGGAGAAAAACAGTCAACTTTCTTTGGAGAAGCAACAAACGATAGAAGCCCTGGATCAACTAAAAAGCAAAGAACACAAAACTCAGAGTGACATGGCCATCACCAGTGATGAAAACAGTCGACTGAGTTCAGAAATGGAATCGATGAAAACAAATATTCGGTTGGCACAAGACGAAAAAGAAGTGTTAGAGAGAAAAACATACCAGCTTCTAAGGGAAAAAAGCTCACTTGAAAACGAACTAAAAGAAAACCAGGTAGAGATAATGCAGCTGAAAGAAAGAGAGAGGTTGGCAAAAAGTGAACATGAGACACTTCTTCAAATAATAGAAACAGTTAACAATGAAAAACTTAACCTTCAAACAACATTACAAGAATCCACTGCTGCCAGGCAAATGATGGAAAGAGAAATTGAGAACATTCGCACATACCAATCTACTGCAGAAGAGAATCTTCTGAACGAAATAAAAAATGCAAAATCAGAAGCAAGTATTTATAAGAATAGTTTATCAGAAATGGGGAATGAGTGTGAAATACTATCAAAAATGGTATTGGAAATTAAAACAGATAATCAGATTCTAAAAGAACAACTTAAAAAACATAGTCAAGAAAATATAAAATTTGAAAACAGCATCAGTAGGCTTGCAGAAGACAAACTACTTTTAGAGAACTATGTAAGAAGTATAGAGAATGAAAGAGACACCTTGGAATTTGAGATGCGGAATCTTCAAAAAGAATACTTAAGTCTATCCGAAAAAATCTGTGGCCAGCATGGTGACCTATCAAAAATGGGTTACATTTCAAGGAGAGAGAAATTCCATTTTGACAACTATGATACTTATGAAGACACCTCTAGTCCCAGGAGGACTTTAGCTCCTGATTTGAAAGGTATGTATATTGTGGTGGATTAGCACAAAGTATTTAAGATTCCTTTAGCCTACTGGGCACTAGTCAGAGGACACTCATAAGGAGGAAACTTTTAAGAGGAATACAATTTAGTTTTGTAAGATTCTTATCCGATTTATTATACAGTGGAATTATTTTGAGATTTGCCCTTTTTTATAAAATTCATGGTTTTATTTATACTACTACTACACATTGTATGTGCATAAAGCAACTTTGGGAGGGAGTGGGGGTTTTTTTAATTACTGTTTTTCTGAAGTATACTCAGCACTCCCACCTTAAAACAAATTCTTCTTTCTTCCCAGGAATTCCAAGTAAACGGTATCAATTGCTTCCATCCAAGAGATGTAAATAAATTTCTAAAATCAATGTTTCAAAATCCTTCGTCCAAGAACTTTTTTCCTACAAAATAATTTTAAGTTTGCTTTTACATATGATTAGAATTACTCTAATTTATCAGAGTAGAATAGTTTTTTAAATTAGAAATTGGATTTAGGCATATATATTTATCTTATTGTCAAGAACTGTGAACAGTATGAGACTTCACCCAGCTTGGAGGCTATTATGTTAGCCTCACAGTTACCTGAGTTCTGGTGGAAGACATGAGACACCTGGGTCAGAGATAAAGGACAGTATGTTACAGCAACAGCAGTGGCCAGAATATTAGCTTTTTTTGCATTGGTTCTCCAAGCCCCAATTCCTATAAATAACATGAAAAGGGCCACAGTGAGTTATATTACAGGAGAGCGCTCCGAGGTTAGGGAACTCAGATCTTTCATAAGTGCAGTAGGCATGCCTGCCCTTTGCTCTAGATGGAAACACTGCCTTTATTATATAGGTCAGTTAGCATATCTGCCCCTGCTCCAGAGGAGACACCAGCTTCCAAGGCTAGAAGCAAACCTGCCCTTTGCTCCAGAGGAAGACACTGTATCTTCCAAGAATGCTCGCTGTATAAACTTGTTATTTATCAAATGCTTTTTCTGCATTTATTGAGGTGTATTACTCCTTTAACCTGTTAATATGGTAATTATATTGATTAATTTTGAAACATTATACCAACCTTGCATTGCTGGAATAAACTCCACTAGGCCATGTATTATCCTTTTAATATCCACTCCTGGGTTCAATTTGATAATATTTGGTTAAGGATTTCTTCTATGTTCAGAAAGATATTGGTCTCTATATTATTTTAATATCTTTATCTGGTTTTGGTACTAAGAAAATCTGGCCTCAGAAAATGTGCTGGGAAGTGTTCCCTCCTCCTCTATTTTCTTTTTTTAATGTTTTAAAAATATGGAACACTTCACGAATTTGAGTGACATCTTTGTGTAGGGGCCATGCTAGTCTTCTGTGTATCGTTCCAATTTTACATTATGTGCTGCTAAAGCGAGCACCCTCCTCCATTTTCTGAAAGAATTAGTGTAGGATTGGCATTACTGATATTCTTTCTCCCTTAAATACATAATAGAATTCACCAACTGACCTGGAGTCTTCCAAATGGAAAGGTTTTACATTACAAAATCAACAATTTTATGAACAGATGTGGAACAATTCCGATTTTCTATTTATTTTTAAGCTAGTTTTGATCATTTGTATGTTCTGAGAAATTTATACATTTCTTCTAAGTTCTCAAGTTTATTGGCATAAAGTTGTCCCTAATATTCCTTATTATAATAAGGACTAGGCAGAGGACCAGTGATGATATCCCATCTTTAATTTCTGACATTGGTAAGTTGGGGTCTCTCCTTTTCTTCCTCTATCAGTCTTGCTAGAGTTTAATCAACTTTATTGCTTTGTTCAAAAATCAGCTTCTAAAAAAGCAAAATAAGACTTCCAAACAATACGATAAGCTGCTGCTTAACTTTCTCTCCAGTTCTGCCTGGAGCTTCTCGTTGACCTAAATCGCTCTTAAAGGTAAGCCTTTCTTCCATGATCAGGTTAACATCCCCAGTCTTTGTTTCAGTTTTGAGCCTTAAATGGCTATGGCTGGATGATTCACAGCAGAAATTAATGGCTCCTAAGCTTATTTCTCCTGTTACTCACTGACGGTGGATGCGAAACGCTACTCAAGTAATGAGGCATCATAATGGGACAGCAGGTCACTAGATGCCTAAGTTATCAAGAGACAGGACGCCAGTGTCCACTAACTCTTATCTATCAATGGTCATCATAAATAAAGCACCCCTCAAATAAAATGTGTATATATGTGTGTTCTATCATTTTTTAAATCTTAATTTTTCTACATGCGTCACTGTTCCTATTACTGGTTTCTGCATTTCTTTTTCTGTAAATTGACATATGCATTTGTGTAAACTCTAGATAAGCTCTGCCAATTATCCTCCTACTTCTTACACTTCAGTCAGGCACCAGATGCATATCTATGAATGTCATATGAAGTCTGCATTGCTATGAGAGGCGCCTTAATAAAAATTACAGTAACAAAAGGCAAAAATGAGCAATTATTTAGATCTTAATAAAATCTGAAATTATAAGCTTATCTCAAAAGAACATCAATATAAGGCTTGTTGGGTAAGTTATCATTGTCTAACTAAATGAATTCTAAGCAGTTATGCGCACCCAGTAAAACGACTCCTATTCTGAAGACAAATGTATCCCCTTTGAGTTACATTATACCCTTGATAATGTCTTTAAGATGTTTGTTCCATATTATACTTTGGATAGGAAATAAGAATTTTAAATATTCTTTTAGAAAAAAGTAAACAGTTGTGAGGCATGAAAATACATATACATACATATATATATACACACACACACACACATATATGTATATATATATTTAATTTGACGGCAGTAAAAATTCTCTGTACGATCTGCAACCCTTTAAAAGCCAGCTGTATACCTGGATAGCTACCAATGGGAGGGGCATGAGAGGACCCCAAGGACAAACTTCATCCACCTTAACTTTGCAATTTTTTTATAATATAATGAAGTAAAAGTGTGTTCCCCGCTCTCCCTTTCCCCAGCTCTTCCTGGGGCTGCACCGGCTAATCTGATGCTTGCAGACATAGAAGGCATGGTACCCCAAACACTGAGCCATTTGCCTTACTATAGAAAGTGTGTATACATAGATCTATGCAATGTGAATGGATCAATATTTATCTTTAATAAGAATGCTTTAACAGGCTATGACACTTGGATATCTATCAATCCAATTTTCACCTCGGGGAAGAAATAGCGCATTAAGAATTTACTGTGTACTTTCTACCCCTCCAGCTCCCACATCCCACCCCACCCCCTTCCACAACCCTGCAACTTTTTAACATTAGGAGTAAAAGCTCTCAATTGACACACTACACTTCCAGATTTTGTAAAATTTCTAAACATTATGTTCTCAGAAGCAGATCTAAACACAGATCAGCAATCATAAATTAACAACAAATACTATTTATTCATTAATGGTACTAAAACAAGAGTATTAGAGTGGTAGGGTTAAATTTCTTTTAAATGTTCCAGCTATCTGTTCCACATCATCTGATATTTTTTCAAATAACTAGCACTTGATAATGAATTACTGGTAGGCAGGATCTAGAAAGCTATCTGTCTTCCAGGTGCTAATAGGACTGTACAGAAGCAGTCTTGTAGTTCTTCACATTTAGTGCCCTAAAATTAGAAAATAAACGCCCATTTAATTTCATAGGTACAGGTAAAATATCTGTAGATTTTTGTAAAAACGTTTTACAATTTAAAAAATTAACAATCCAAAACCACATTTCCTCATCAAATTAAAAAGCTTCACTGTGTATAAATCAAATATACTTTAAAAATGTAACTTAAGAAGGAAAAATTGGTTTATGAGACCAATTTTAAATACCACCATCCAGAAGTTTACAAGTTTTAAAATGAGTTAAAAGGAGCTTAAACTTGGTTTAGGATAATAGTTGCGATAATGAAGAAAAAAAAAGATTTCAATAAACTCAAAATTACAAAACAGAAGATAAACTTCCGATTTTTCAAAAGAACAATCATCAGCTACTCTTTTCTGTCTAAGCATACATGCTAGGGCAAATCATAGAAATTTCTCAGGTCTGTTCTCTGGATAGAAAAGAACTCACAGAAAACTGCCCCCAGAATATTACTCCTGTAGAAAACAGTTAAATTGCATAAATATTAAAGGGCAGCCTAACTTTTATGATACAATAATAATGTTGGTATTACAATCACTGTCTACATGTGAGAGGATGTACCAGTGATTTTATAAAAGAATGTGAACCTGGTGTCCTTTACTTAATCCACTGTGTGGTTACATTGAAGTCAGAAATACGTAAATTAGTTTAATTCACATTAAAACTTTTTCAATGGATAGAAAGGAATTTTCACTTATTAATGATCTCGCACACACACACATGCACACACACAATGATGGACTGCCCTTTTCTAATGTATGTTCTTATCTTCTGATAGAAATGAATTCTTTCACTTGTTTATGGTCCTGCACATACACACAGTTATGGACTATCCTTTTCTAATGTATGTTCTTATTTTCTGATAGAAATGAATTCTTTCACTTGTTTATGGTCTTGCACACACACACACAATGATGGACTGTCCTTTTCTAGTTTTCAGAGTGTTCCAACCATGGGTAAAATTGAAGTTTTAGGATACTTTTCCTCAAAGTTTTATAAAGTGATGCTAAAAGCATTTTTAATTAACAAGACTATTCCTGTTTTCATAAAAGAGTATTTAAAAGTTGAGAACAGAAATCTTAAGTGTCATTAGGATTCTCCTGAGAGCCTGTAGCCCTATAACAAGGGTCAAAAACTCTCTGAGAAACAGACAATGTTCACATGCACAGCTAACTGAACTATATCTAAATAGTTTCAAATGGCTCATAATAAGATGCTACATTGCTTAAAAAATTATGGAAAGAATACTTTGGTAGAGATAAATTAAGCTTTTTCAATTGAGAATTTCGGAAGATGGGAAAGAACTCCTGCAAGGGAGGGCAGGTATATGGAAAGAGCTGAGGTTTCTAAAGTCACCCAAAATTGTCACTTTTAAAAATATGTACAAATAAAAGATATTATTTTGAAGAAATCTAAAAGTTGAAAGCCACTTTTCTTGCATTATGAACTAAATGTAACATATTACTACCTTTTGACATTCAAAGTCATTATACTCTCAATTGGTCTGCCTTTCGGTCCACCTGGTGGGTGGAAAATCTTAGCATCTTTGCCAACAGTCTCTTTTCCCAGTTTAGCCACATAAGGGTCAGCAGAATGTGAAGGGTAAGGGTCAAATGTTCCTGCCTTCATTCCACCAGCCTACAAATAAAAATGAGACAATTTTATGTGGTTTTGTAAAATGCTTCTAAAAAAATTAGATTTTGAAGTTCATACATATTTGTGTATTGTTTATGGAGCTGGTTTTAAATTTTTTAATTTATCTTTATTTTTTAAAGTATAATGGATGCTCTCTT